CCTCATTTAGGACTTGTTCCATGTCCGTTATATGATGAAAGACAAACAAAAACCGGCCAGGCTCCACCTCCGTTGCCTCGACCCCGCTCACCGGTTGCCATACCGATGCCAAGACCTGACTCATAAACTCCAACCTGACTAGCTTCCGTGTCAAGAACCTTCCCACCACCCCCCAACTTTCCTCCACCTCGCCGCCCCCCTCCTCGGCAACAGCCCCCTCAATCGGCATGAAAGCCGTTGCTTCTTCTTTGAGCACCATATCGGCCCACCTGGCCGTCAAACCTGCCACGTCCGGTTCTGCCGGTGAAGACGCCATCATGCATGCAGGGGACAAGTCGTGGCCGTCAAACCTGCGTCGGATTTCTACCGTAGAAAAGCGTCGAAAGAGCGACCGGAAGACCTAGAGAAACCCTAGGTAGAGAGAGTTTTTTTTATTATTATTGTTATTGTTATTGTTATTAAATTCTTATTATTATTACTATTATTAATTGTTGTTATTATTATTATTATTATTAAATTATTAAATTATTATTGTTGTTGTTGTTGTTGTAGAAATGTGCAAATGCTATATAGGATGAGTGTATTTAATAAAATCAGAAAATTAGAGAAATAAAAATCTGGAGGAAGGGAAAAATGGAAAACTGAAAAAATAGAGAAGGAAAACTGGAAAAATGGAAAAAGAAAACTGGAGAAATGGAGAAATGGAAAACTGGAAATGGAAAAAATGATAAATGAAGTAAACGACCCCTATACATTTGTAAATTTTCTTTAATATTGTATAGGAGAAGAGGGAGTTCGAGTTGGAAGTTGAGAAACCACCAACTTTCTTTAATATTGTTTGGCCAAGTTTGGGACTAAAGATGACCAAACCACCAAACTCGAGGGACCTTGGCTGGTATTAACTCTTTTCGTATAAGTCAAATGACAATATTACCCTCCATTTTGACGGTTAAGACGGGAGGAAGTAACGGAAGGACGCTATAAGGTAACTTTTTACAACTCGGAAGATGACGGATGGTAATTACGGAAGTTAGGGACCATTGATGGCGATGCCACCAAACTCGAGGGACCATAGGTGTTATTTACTCTTTAACAAAATTACTGATTTTCCTTCCTTAGATAATAATCCCTATGTTGCCTTTTCTATTGTGCTTCAAAATGGGTAATTTTCTAGACTTCCTTATATACTACAATGTCTCTTATATCGCTCATATAAGTATGGCCTAACAATACTGCCTTAAATTTCTTCGTATTCTTGAATAGAAGAAGGGGTTTTCAGCCTTGCCACCTTATATTGAACTTCTTTACTTTGCTATGGATCCAGCAGTAATTTGTCCTTCAATTCAAAATGCAAGGTGTATATAGCTTTTGTGGGCAAATTATATTATGCACCGCGCGTCTTTTTTTTTTTTAATGAAAATAAACAGTGTTTGTTTCCGCCGTTTCGCACTCTTTGCAAAAAGTAACTATGTTATTCAGTGTCATTTTGTATACACTGCAGTTTCAGTTCAACACAACTACAGTTTCATTTCGATATAACTATAGTTTCATTCGATATTTATAGACTCAAATATGTGAAAATGTTATTTAATTTTATTTTATATACACTATAGTTTCATTAAAACACAACTACATGATCATTTTGATATAATTACAGCTTCATTGTACAATATACACTCAAATATGTGAAATGTTATTCAGTTTCATTTTATATACACTGTAATTTCATTTCACTATAATTACAGTATCATTTTGATATAGCTGCAGTGTCGGTTTAGATATACTATAGTGTCAGTTGGTGTTTAATACACCAAACAAGCGGACTCCGTTAACTCTAACGGCGGGCCGTTTCTTTACTTAAAGAAACGGCGCCGTTTTTGACCGCGGTGCACATGCACCTTGGTCTATAATATAACGACTGGCTTTTGTGTGTGCAGTGTGTGTCTATATATATATATATATATATATATATATATATATATATATATATATATATATATATCAGCTCAAATGTGGTTGTGCCTTAATGTGCGGTTGGTGCAGCCACATAGTATTAAAAACGCACCAATAGTGTTAGGAAAACGCACAATAATAAAATACACAAATAGATTATAAAACGAACAACACATCCCCGTCCTCGCTACCTCGATGGCAACAGGGCGGGGCGGGGCGGGGAGTATACTCCTCGTCCCCGCTACCCCGACCCCATCCCCATCCCCGTCCCCGGAGGGGAAATGAAATCCATAAGTCCTAATAGGCAACAATTATATGATTAAATAATTTAAATGGTTTCATAGTATACAATCTATACATCAACAAATAAACATTTAAATGATTAATTAATATATATTCACAATCTACTTACGGTATAATTTAAATGATTATTTCAGAGTATAATTTAATTTAAATGGTTTCACAAACTAATTTCTAATTTAAATGTTGTTTCACATTATAATTTAAATTGTTTCAATTTCACAGTATACAGTCTATATGACAATTGACAAAGTATATAATTAAATTTACAATTACTTTCAAAAAAAAAAAAAAAAAAAAAATTTACAATTAAAACTAATCTATACTTTCAAAGAAAACTAATCGATAAGGCAATACTCCTAAATTCCTAAAATAATATATTTTTTAAAATTATTCGGGGACGGGGCGGGGCGGGGAGGGGTATCTCCGTCCCCGACGAGGAATTTCACAAACTTCCCGATCCCCGAAATTTTTCTTTATCCCCGTCCCTGTCCCCAACGAGGACGGGGCACATTGTCATCCCTAAATGCACCATACTTCCCCCACACCTAATTTTACATTTTCGAACACTGTGTGGTGCGTTTATTCATAGTTAATGGTGTGTTTTTGGTGATGTGTACCTAATGGTGCGTTTTCTTGGTATATTTGTACTTTTTTTTGTTATGCATTTCGTAACACTATTAGTACGTGTTTGCATAACAATTGGTGCGACCACACTGACAGCACGTTATTGCGCGACCACACTGGAACTAGGTTCTGCATATATATATATATATATATATATATATATATATATATATATATATATATATATATATATATATATATATATATATATATATATATATATATATATATAAAATTAGGTTCAGGTGCGGTTGGCGCGCCCAGGTGCGGTTGTGCGGTTAAATCTGAGTCATTGATCTTGCTTAAATCAACGTCCAAGATTACCAAAATTTAAAAACAAAAAACGCGGTGGTAATTTGGTAATTTTTGCATCTAGTTCAAATTTAAGGTGTGTGGTTTTTGTGCTTAAGGTGCGTGAGTTTTTTGCTTAAGGTGCGTGGGTTGTGTACTTAATGTGAGTAGTTGTTGAAACTTAAGATGCATGAGTTTTGTGCTTAAGATGCGTGAGTTTTGTGCTTACGGTGATTGGGTTTTGTGCTTAAGGTGCGTGAGTTTTGTGCTTAAGGTGAGTAGTTGTTGAAACTTAAGGTGCGTGAGTTTTCTTCTTAAGGTGCGTTGTTTCCTTTTTAAGGTGCGTGATTTGTATGCTTAAGGTGCGTCACTTGTGTGAAACTTAAGGTGAACCATTTTAAAACCTTAACAGCATGTTTGGTTCACGAAATGAATTTTGAGGTAATAGGAATGCTATTCCATAAGGAATGGAATAGGCAAGGAATAGAATAGGAATTGTATTCTATTGTTTGGTTTGCGGAAAAAATAGACTTTAGGAATTATATTACAGGGTTTGGTTGGTTTAAGGAATAGAAATGAAATATGTTTTAAAAGACATAAATACCCTTATAAAAATACTTGGTGGTGGTGGTTGGGGTGGCAGTGGCGATGGTGGGGTTGGTGGTGCATGCTGGTGGCGACGGCGGTGGTAGGGTGGTGGTGGTGGCGAGGGCGGTAGTGACGGTGGCGATGTATGTAGGAGTATTTTTGGTATTTGTAATATAAAAACTATTCTCATAAGCATGGAAATAGCTAATACCAAGGCCCCCCCTAGGAATGGCTATTCCCCTTGCAAAGGGAATAGGTCATTCCTAGGAATAGTATTCCCATGACAAAGTGACGAACCAAACAATGGAATATGTCTATTCCAAAGAATATCATTCCATTCCTGACCTATTCCATGAACCAAACATGTTGTTAAGTGCGTAGTTTGTATTCTTAAGGTGCTTTATTGTGTGCTTAAGGTGTGTGGTTTGTGTTATTAAGATGTTTTGTTTGTGTGCTTAAGGTGTGTCGTTTGTGTACTTAAGGTGCGTGCTTCGCACAACTACATTGAAGAAGGTAGAAATATTATTAGAAAAATCTAACACAACCAAAGTATATATATATATATATATATATATATATATATATATATATATATATATATGCACTTTGATTGTGTTTGATTTTTCTAATAATAATTCTACCTTCTTCAATTCCTATCAAAAAAACACACCAAAAATCCACTCTCTGATCTATACCATCATTACCTAAAGATTTAATGAATAATAAGAATGTATAGAGCACAATTGTAAGCCTATAAGTGACTTATCAGTCATGTTTAAGGACCATTATAAAAAATTAACTAACGACCTTGTGGTCCACTGATATCTGATTATTTTTTTATGTGGGAGATTTAAGGTTAGGTCTAGGGTTCAAGCGTTGGGGTGGGTGTCTCCCTTCCTTTGTAATAAAATTAAAATTAATTTTTTTTTTTTTTTAAAAAGAACAACAACTGGGTTATTATTTAAGGAAGATCAGTAATTTTTTATATTTAAGAAAAGCACATAAATTATCAGAATATACTTTATGTTAGGCACTAGTGCACTACTGGTATGATATCCTTTTGCGTCCATAGATGTTCCTCAAATGGGTGGTGAATGGCGATCATCGTCGGTAATGGCGGGTATATACAGACAGACTCGCGCTTTAATTCATTTCCCCCATTTGACGCTAAATCACTCATTTTATGAACCACAAAAACTTGATATAAATACCCTTCATTTCTACCTTCTTCAATTCCCCCACAAACGAAGCAACCAAACAAATTAAATAATAAATTAAAGAAAATAACAGAATCAAAATCCATGCCCACCATGAAATTATCATTGGTTTTGGTTCTTTTATTTGCTTGCAGCACCGTCTCCTTCCAGGGAGTTCTTGCTGATATTATCTGTGAGAATTTGCCCACAAACGTTTGTGCATTTTCAGTCTCATCCTTTGGAAAGAGATGCGTGTTAGAGAACTCGATAAAAGATGGCCATAAGGTGGAGTATCAGTGTAAGACGACGTCAGAGGTGTTGGTCGGAAGTAACACCGGAGAATACATAGAGACGGACAAGTGCGTGAGCGCATGCGGCGTTGATCGGAAATCTGTTGGCTTTTCATCGGATCCCTTGCTCGAGCCGACCTTCATTGCCAAGCTTTGTTCCCCTGATTGTTACCATAACTGCCCCAACATTGTCAACCTCTACTTCAACTTGGCGGCCGGGGAAGGAGCGTATTTGCCCGACCTGTGCCAGAGGCAACAGGCGAGCCTCCGTCGTGACATGGCTCAGCTCCAAAGCGACGATGACAGCAGTGATGTCGCCCCGGCTCCTGGTCCTAGTCCTCCTCGTCGTGATATGATTGAACTCGAAAGTGATGATAGTGTTGATGATGTTCCTGTTGCTGCTGATGATGCTCCTGTTGTTGCTGCTGCTGATGATGCTCCTGTTGCTGTTGCTGCTGATAATGAAATTTTACCTGCCAATAATGTTGATATCGTAGCTGTGGAGGTTGTTGGTGCTCCTGGTGCTGCTGATGCTCCTATTGTAGCTGTCGGTGTCTTAACTGCCAATGCTGTTGATGATCCTATGGCTGCCGATGTCTTAACTGTGGATAATGTTGTTGATGCTCCCATTGCTGCCGATACCCAAACTGTGGGTAATGTTGTTGATGCTCCTGTTGCGGATACGCCTACACAACTGGGAAGCGCTCGTCGTGAGCTTTCGAGGAGCAACGGTACTGCTCCTGCCCCTGCCCCTGCTGTTGATGATGGTGCTTCGACTATCGATACACCAGCACCATCTCCCTCCTATTTCTAAAGGGTATAGATTATATAGGGTGTACGACTTTAACTCAATGGTTTAGTAGGCAGTATATAGGAGAAGAAACCAAGCTTCAAACTTTGGTGGTGGTAATGTGGAAATTATGTTCAAAGTAGGTAAGTTCCTTATGGGCAAAGACATTTGGCCCAGTTGGCTAACTCTTCATACTGATTTACCTGACAAATTATTGTGTGAACCATGGTCCACATAGCTGTATGGACCATGAATGCAATATACAATTTTAATATACTAAAAGTACATTATTTGTGTACTGAATAGACGTTATTTGATAATATATAAAAAAAAATCATGTACTTTCAAATAATGTATATGTATACAAATAATATACTTTTAGTATATTAAAAGTGTGCTTTTTATTTATGATTCACACAAATATGTGGACCATTGTCCATGAAATAATGATTGGATTTACATTCTCTCAAATGCTCTGTCGGGCACAACTCTTTAGGGTTAGGGATTTAACATTTTGAGAGAAAAAGTGTATAGAATATATGTGCAATCCTATATTATATGCATGGGAAGGGAAAGAGATTCTTATTGGGTCGATTATTCTATAATTTAATTGGTTGAGATTATATTTGAGATTTTTATCACAACAAATATAATTAAAATATTAATGATATTTATCATTCTTTTTCCTCTTTAAAGAAAATAAATAAATAAATAAGGTTAAATAAGGTATTATATTAAACCAGGACTATGTAGTCTAATGGTATCCGGGTTGGACTTTCATTTGGAAGGTTGAAGTTCGAGCTTTAGTGGAGGCGTTATTGGCTCTTTGTGTTTCAGTAGGTTGAGAAAGTATATGAACAGATACTACAATGTAATAAAGCTAGTAGCATTGACTTTCAAAAATGTTTATTTAGTACCTTGACTATGCAATTTCTATCAATTTTGGTCACGCCGGCCAAATCTCACCGGAAAAATTTAATAGGTCAATTTATGAGGATATTTTAGTAATTTTACTCCTCTTTTTTCTTCTCCGATGAGCTTCTCCATTTCCGGCGACGTTCTTCTCCATTTTCGGCGATGTTCTTCAGCAAATTTGGTGTGCTTTTGAGTGAGAATTTCACTGATGAGAGGCCAAATGGATTTTGAGTCCTTTTTGAGTGAGAATTTCACAGTTGGTTTGTGGATTCTTGCTTTGAAATTAATTGGTTGGAAATACAATACATGCAGGGCGGCGGTGAGTGAGCTGTGAAGTGTGAGATTGGGTTCGGCGAACACACAGACCCACAAATTAAAGATGGCTACTGGATTTCCGTGCCGGCTGAAAAATCCTCCTTCTTCATCACCGTTGGCGACTTCTCCGCGAAGAATTTTGGCTCTTCCTTGACCACCACAGTGGGCGTCTCATCCACCGCCGACAACCACCCGGATTCACCGAAGCTTCCACTACGGCAGAAAATCGGGGGAGACGCCAACGGAGCATCAAAGTCGTCGAGCAACTGCCGCCGAATAGATTCAAGAAGAAGTCGTCGGAAATGGAGTTGCTCGCCGGGGAAGAAAGGAAAAATGTAAAATGACCAAAAAACCCTTATTATCTGACCTATTAAAATTTTCCGGTGAGATTTGACCGGCAATTTGGCCGGAGTGACCAAAATTGATATAAATTGCATAGTCAAGGTACGAAATTAACATTTTTGAAAGTCAAGTGTTGCAATTAACACAACCCCAATAGTCAGTGGATCAAAATTGAAATTTTCTCTAATATGGTATCATTGGTATGAATGTAATAATCGTGAGTGCTCATATATTAATTATATATATAGAAAGATTTGTAATAAAATTTAAGTGTATTGACATGTGATAGTACGTATCTCCAATTATTATATTTCTTGTGCATTTGTGATAAAATTAGAGACTATGTTGAGATATTTCTAAGATATTAATCATCTATATTAATCATTTTGTCTCTTTGATTTCCATCTTTTTGTTTTCCATCTCTTTGTTTTTCCATGTCTTTTTGTTTTCTCCTTTATATTTATTAGTAGTTGCACCCGTGCGTTGCACGGCCATGATATTATGATGCAATATATAAAAGATTGTTATATTGTAGATATAGGACCAATAACGTTTTAGATGTAATAAAAAGACAAAATATAATTTATTGGCATTTCATAACAAAACAATTATACATTATTAAAGATTTCTTTGTAAACTATATTTTGAGTCTTGTTTAAAAGACCTTTAGATTTCCCACAAATTAAGACCTTAAGATCCCGTCAGGATTACTCACCATATAAACTGCTACATATAATTGGACATGGTTAAAAACTGGTTTCTTAGTAACAAACCAACATGTGAAAGCGTTTGACCTTGACTTTTGTGTTATTGTCATTGCATATGACAACATAAGTGGAAACTGCTTTCTTTGAAATTTAAATGGAAGTCTTGGATCTGGAGGAGTCAAAGATAGCCTTGGTATCAACACATTTGTACCTACGTTGTTGCCACATAGGATTTGTGCCTCACTAACATGATTTCCCAATTGTGTTACTACCAACCTTGTACCATTGCACAGTCCTAGTGAGTGATCTATATTTATCAGCAACATAACTGGAGTTCCAACTTTCAAAGTTAAACAACGGTTGGGGACCCCCGAGCATCTCAAACTATTTAAAAATTTTGTTGTGTGGACCTCAGATTGCATATCAACATTTGTCTCTGACTTGCAAACAGAATCACAACTCAAATATGTTATTGCTGAGGCTTGATTCATACCGTTCATGTATTCATTCACCTCGTCGACAACATCTAACGTTGGAGCCAGAATCGCTTTACTCTCGAGTTGTCTTGCATTCATCTTTCCAGAACGGTATTCAGGAAATGTGCTATCAACAATTTGTCTAATGGGATCGCCCTCATTTTCCAATACAAAGGAAGACGGTATCATTATATTGCAATCAACACCATTGTCTTCCCCAAGTTTTCCATCACCTAAATCTGCAAAACTATCTAACTTCTCAACATCCTCTTCATTACTAATACTTCGCAATCTTAAATTCTTCGTTAAACGAAGAACTTCACAATTATTCCACAAGTAAGAAGAATTAATACTGGCTACTGGCTTGTACTATATGCTGTCGAGTACCTTTTGAAATAATCGGTAGAATTTGTCTAAAGTCTCCCCCCCCCCCCCCCCCCCCCCCAACAACGGTTTTCCCTCCAAAGGTCATCGTTGATGAGCTCCTAGAATTTGTGAAACGCATTAAATCTCTCATTGTTGGGCGGGAAATTGGAGCAATGTGATTGAACAAATTCTTATGGCTTTATTATATAGAAGGATATATATATATATATATATATATATATATATATATATATATATATATATATATATATATATATATATATATAAACCAAACAAACCACCTCAACCCAACTCTCGCACCCATTTTTCTCGTCGTCTTCATCGCGACTCTGCCCTAAACCCTCCCACCTATGTAAATGGAAACCAAGCCACACTCATCCACCTAACACCTCAATCCGTGTTCCCTAACACCGAAATTACTCATAATCTGCTTGAAACTCCACCATGTCAACAACAAAAAGCCATTCAAGAATATATCCATACAGTTGTATGTATACACTCTTCAATTTGCAAGATATCATTTACGAAGGCTATGGAGCAAAGATTGTACAATATAAGGTTAGATTTATTTAAATTAAATATGTTCTACGAATATCAACAGACAAAAATTCACTCAGAAAGATTAAAAAAAAAAAAAAAAAAAAAAAAAAAAAAAAAAAAAGGAAATCAAGGTGTGCATGCAGAACAATCTCGAAGGTGAAAAATCAATTTGAAAGGAAAATGAAAATCCTATAAAGATAAGAACCGTATTACTTGAAAATTGTTGATATCTACCTAAATTTCTGAAATTGTACTTTATGTGTCTTCAAAATTAGAACTATTTTTAAATTTTGTAGAATATTCAATTGCTATAATTTTATAACTTGTTAAAATATAAATTTAGATATATTATAAACTAAAATTTCGTAACTATTACGTAGTACTTACAAAGAATATTAATAGTACTTAAATAAGAATTTACATTATGTACAAAGAATATGCAGTTAACTGTAATGTAATTATATCTTTATTTAAATTAGTAATTCACCCGCGCGATGCACGGAAAAAATTATGTTATTATAAATATAAATAAAAAATAGAATACAACTAAAATATTTTAAATTATTTAATATAATAATATTTTTGAGCTTCCATTGGTCAAGTATTTATTATTTTTATAGAATACAAAATTATAATTAAAATTAAAATTATAATTATAATTATAATTTTGTATGATTAATATAATCTCTAATTATGTGCATATTCAAATAACCTTATAGAGAGAATTTACATAATTACATTGATTTATTCTTAATTGTATTTCATCTATATTATAATTTTCACAATACGAATAATAACTAAGATAATTACATTTGGAAAGCAAATATCAAATTTTGTATGTGTAAATTTAAACTCTAATTGAACACATTTTTTATATGATTATATAATATATAGCTATTTTATTTTTCAAAAGTATATTTTTTATATGATTATATAATATATACCTATTTTATTTTTTAAATGTTGTATTCTTTTTTTTTATAATAAAAGATGTTGTGACATTAATTGTAACATTAATTATTTCCCAAACCATATAGCTTTATTATATAAAGGATGTTCATGTTTTCTCTTGCAACTAAGGGGATGTTTGGTTGGATGGAAAACATTTTCCATTGGAAAAAGTTTTCCTTAAGAACAAGGAAAACAAATTCCTAGCTTATGCTAGGTATTTTGTTTTCCATGGAAAACCTTTTCTATGAAAAACTAATATGACAATTTTACCCTCATCATTCTTTATTAATTACTCTTATTATTATTATATTATTATTGTTGTGCATGGTTATATTTGTCATTATACTCATTATTCCTTACCATTCCAAACTCAACCAAACAATGGAATTATTCCCAATAATTTCTTTTCCACCAACCAAACAATGGAATATGTTTTCTTGGAATTTATTTTACATGGAATTTCAATTCCATTTCCCTTCAAATATTTTCCAGCGAACCAAACGAGCTGTAATAGTTGTTGAATCATTTATCTTCCTCATATCTCTTTCAAACTTCATACAATAGTAATGTTTGAATAATTGTCTTTTTTTGTTTTTTTTTTTTTTA